GGAGTTGAAACATTACAACAAAATTTAAAAATAAAATATAAAAAGAAAGAAAAGACAAAATATATAAAAATTTTATTTGTTATTATTTGATATGAGTATCTATATATATATAGTATATTGACCGAAAGGTTAAGTAGGCTAGTTTGCATTTATCTATTAGGGAAATGTTTTACTTATGACTCATTTTATCACATTTATTTACTTTGAATTTTAGAAAATAGGATAATTGATTAAATCACGATTAAAGTTAATTAATAAATTAAAAAGCAAGTAAAATGGATTAATCATATTATTAGAAAGATGTAGATCTATTTTTTACGAAAAAATTAATTTTTTATAATGAATTTTGTTTCTAATTTGTAATAAAAAATATTTATGATTTTAAATATTAATTCCAAATTATATATATAAATTTGCATATAATTTTTTGTACTTGAAATTTCTTTTTACATTGTTTCTTGATTAACACTTTGCCTATATTTTTCTAGCAATGGATGAGCCTAGAGAGAAGTAAGTCAGTTTGTACTGAGAGTAAGACTCATTTGTCGCTTCTCCAGGCTCTATTTAACTTGCTTTAAGCTTCGCGTTTATGCACTAATATGTTTCTGTTGTTATTTCGCCATCATATGTTTTCTCTGCTTTATTTCTGTATGCTGTATTTTCTGCTTTTCTCGCTTATTTCGTTGTTTTTCGTTTTTGATTTATGATTTTAGCTGCTGATCAATCCGTTGGAAGAGGGTGAGAGCATTATTTACGCTATGTTTTGTAACTGTAATTACTAATTTGATAATTAATTTGTTAATATAAAACTAATATAGTATCATTTCTTTCACCAATTTTTTAATAAAAAAATCAGATATAACGATAATACTAAATAAAAGAAAATTAATTTCATAATATATGTGTATTACACAATTTCCTTTTATCTCTCAAAAACTTGAGAAACATTTTAAATCCTGCAATCTGTAATATCAAATAACTTTTCTATTGAATTACATTTCTGATTTACTTATTCACAAAGTTCAATCGATTACAAATTTCTTATGAAAATAATATGAAAAATTTAACGTAAAATTTAGAAAGTTTTTTGCAACAGTTAAAATAAAATTTTTATTTCTTTAGTGCATTATTTATTAATACGCGCTATATCTCTGCCGATAACATCGAGTGCACGTTAAATCAGCCGAGAATAACCGTCGTGGTATGTCCGCTATTTTCGATCGCGTTCGCACCACGCACTGCACAATTCGATAGAAATCACGGTGACTCGCTGCGCGTTAGTTGGATGATCGGCCGTTTCTTACCAATCCACCTACGCAGATAGAACCGCAAACATGAAATGCGGATGGAAATAGAATTAAGGTCTTCTAGTTTTGGATACCACTTGTGTTTCGTACGTGCAATCTGACCACAAAGTGGCCGGATTATTTTGGACGTTATCTCTCGTGAGAAAGAATCCACTAAATATCGATTCGTCTATATTATAGCTATGGAGTGATCAGATTAAGAGAGAGAAACAATTGATTAAATTGTAGTTGAATTGATGAAATCTCAGAGAAGGATGAAAGAATGGAAAAATATAACAAGTATATAAAAATCACAAATTAAATTGTACAACAATTGTAGAAAAAAATTAAAAACGTTTATTTATGTTTAATTGCACAAATCATAAACGCAGTAAATTTTTAAAATTGTAAACTAATAATAAGTTGCATAACTAAGCACCGATTTCTTGTATTTCTTTATACATTTGATGTCACCTCAAAAAAAGGAATATTTCTTTAATAATACGATTATATTTTAATAGTATAATTATGCAGCGGGAAGCTATTCTTATCTTCGTAATAATTATGATAACAATAATTTACTGATGTAGCACAAGCAAATCAATTATGAAATCTTTGTGCAATCTGCACGAGCGGAAAGCATTTATCAGTTCCTAAATCTCTTTTTGCATCCTGCTTGCAGTTATTCCCGCGTCTCATTGCGACTTTAATGACTTTCGAAGATAATTCGAAACTGGGTCGACAGTGTTCTCGACGAGTTCCCTCAAGCCGCAGACTGCGGCGACGACACGACGAGAGGCTGTATTTCGGGATCGCATCGACAGACATGATTCCCGTGAATTTCTAAAAGTAACGCGAGCCTTCCCGCTTCCACGCGTCGCAGATCGCGTTCCATGATGCGTATCGAAAAAAAATTCGGTCAATTGCGAGAAAGATAATTCACTCGAAAGTATAAAACATATTTATGAAAAATTCGCGATATTTTAAACGGTGAGATTTTTAGTAATTTGATTAACAAATTTAACAAAGCAAACTGTCAATCGAGAGTAAAAATTCGCAACTTATAAAAATCGAATCGATTGAGAGTGAAAGTCGAGAGAAAACAGCTGCAGCCTTCCATGCTAAACTTAGCATGCACAACATGCACCCATGCTAATGTACTTATGGTCCATTTGGGATGCAAGTGTTAGGCACGTGCCTCGGTTCTCAATTTGCAAGAATAAACATTGGTGATCATAACTCGAAATGCGCGATTCCATTGGCAAGAATAATTTAGAAGAGAGACGGTGAATCGTAATGATTTTATTTTTAATTTAGAAAAAACTGTACAGGAAACTTGCAGATTCAAAATTTGTGAGTTTAAATAACTGACAATAAAGCGAAATAATTGCTTGATTGATTTTTATAACTAATCTTTATAATATAAAAAAATAGTTAATTTTGATTTTTTTGAAAAAAATAAAAAAACAACGTTAAGATATATGTATAAAAATTTCACAGGAACAGTTGTTTTAGAGATTATATTTAGTTTCTTTCGATTTAGCTTTTGATTTTTCTGAAAATTTTTCTGAAACAAATATTTAACTGTCGACAAAAATATTGACGCCAAGAAAAACAGTAATATCGATTATATGGCGATGTAATTTTAAAGTGGTTGTTAGCTGTCGAAATTAAAATAAGTTCGACAAGTTCCTCTTGTCATGAAGCATTGACTAATCAAAACAAAGTTATTTTTGGTCATCAATTTGTGAAAAGCGTAGTAAATTCGAAAGCATAATAAATCCCAAAGCTACTTTTCTCTTGTTTGACCAAATATTATCATCTTCCTTATCCTTATTTTCTTTAGTATTAATATTAATTCTTCTCTAGAAATCCTAATTATTTTAGAAATGAAGACATTACTAATTTTTTTTACTAATTATTTAGCTAACAATGCGTACATATTTTTACGATTTAAAGCATGTGATTTATTAATGATAGATGTGTCTTTTGGTTCGCTAAGATGTTGGTTGACCGAAAATGAGATTAAAATCATCAGCAATATCCTACAGTATGTTTGTAACGCAACATCTAAATTTTTGCATTGATTCGCTGTGATTTAATTCGACCAACGCTTTAACGAACGATAAATTTACGCGGATATATTTCCAGACTCTCACGTGTTTATGTTGCGCTTGTAGACAAATTGACGGCATCGCGCCGACTTTCGCGAAGAAACCCGCGATTAGACAGGAGGACGACGGTAAACGGCTGTTGTTCGAGTGTCGTATCACAGCCGATCCCACACCGAAAATCACATGGTTTCATACCGGGAACATGGTCAAAGATTCGTCGAGGCACAAGGTTCGTCATTTTCAATTACGATCCACCACGTACAGTTACAGTAATATAAATTCAAAAGAGACCGAATAGTAAAATTCAATTTCATTTTTCTGCTTTAGATGATTTTATCTATAATATTATATGTGTATAATACTGAGTTTTCCGAATAGCTTCTAAATCGTAAAAATTAATATTTTTATGCTTAAAGCGTCTTTTATTTTTTAATTTTTTTACGATTAAAAATTAGGAGCATATTCGAAGTAATTTAAGCACAGTAACGATTGCGTAGTAACAACGTTAAATCATTTTATACAGCTAACTGTCGATAAAGATGGCCACTCGTACTTCGCCACTCTAGAAATAAAAAACGTGACCGTCGAGGATGCTGGCAAATATAAGGTCACGGCGAAGAACGAGCTCGGCGAGTCTAACGCTACGATTTCCCTGAATTTTGACAGTAAGTATCTAAAGTTTTACGACAAATAACCACAAACCCATATATATTTCGACCGATGATCCGCTTTACATTTTAATATTTACCTGCTTAATTTTTTTCAAAAGTTATACGCTCAATGATTCGCGATTATTTTGTTAACAATAAGTTTTCTTAAATTATTTTTAGCTTCAATTTGTTTTTGATATCAAGCAGGCATTTTAAAATATTTCATTTTTATGTAAAAAAAATTCTATTGTAATTTTTATTATTCATTTTTTGTATAAATTTTCTTAAAGTTTTAGAAATAATTTTTTAATAAATATTTAATAACATTTGATTAACTGTATTTAATTTTTTAAATTTCTAAAGAAGCGAATACATTTCCCTTTATCCCTTTCCGCGTTGTCTTGAAGCGGAAAATAAAGTGGATCATCGGCACTATTCCTCAACTCTTCTCTTACATTCTCACTCGGGATGTATATCGATGATTCTATTTCATTTCTGACTGTCTTCATCTCAATTCTATGCCCTATTTATCTATATCCTTCATATCGTCTTTACACCAACGTATATCCGCAGTTTATTATTTAATTTTTTTCCGTTCCATCAGCAATCCATTCTTCAGTCTCTTTCATTGTAAATATAACCTTTATTTTTTAATGGTTTGTCTCAGTCGAGCGATGAGCACGTATCGATATCGGCTCGACGCGAGCCACGATATACAGCCCGTTGATTTGATCTTAATCGACTAAACGACTTTTTCTTTTGCGAGAGAAACACACATTTATTGTTTGTCTCTCATGAATTTTGCACCGTAAAAGTTGCGTAGAGAGCGGATCAGAATAATCAACTTGTAACAACGCGTGTACTGCTGCTTCAATCACGTATTAATTCGAATCGCATCTCGCGCCGAGATTAGAGACATTACTTACGTCTCGAGACGAATTAATCTGCCGGATCTACAATAGATTTTTAAGCCTTAAGTCATAAGAAATGAATTATAATTATTCTTATCGTATTTGATTGTAATTTGTCAATTTCTTACGGATTAAGACTTAAAATACTTGTTGTAAATCCGAACTTACCATCTATATTGATGCACGAGATGCGATTATAGATTAGCATTAAACATTATTGACGCTTCGTTAGGTTGCTTCGATGACATCTTTTCTCTCTATTCATACGATCACGTTTGCCGTGTGTGAACATCTACGATAAGCCTCCGTTTGCACTGGCAGTCTTTGGATGCATTGTCGTCCATTACGTCGCTCACACACACGCAAACGCAATTATACGAAATTTCTGTGGTGGTTAGATCTGCTAACAATATATATTTCCTTACTTGCACACATTATCATTTGTGATTTCGCACTTTTAATTCCAACAGAGATGTCACGTTCTTTTTGACTGCAATTGCACAAAATTAAAATTAATATTACTTATAATTAGAATTAAAACATATCATTGTATATAATTTCAGAATCAAGTATGACAGTATTATTGCAAGTGCATCTCAGTTGCATTATATATTATATAATATTCTTGTAAGAATTATTTATATATAAAAGACTTTTTTAAATACATTTTAGAAATAATCCCAATCTAAATGTATATGCTTTTATAGAATTAAAATTTGCAAGTATGGAAATGTTCTTGAAAAATAGTAAAATACGTAGTTAATGACGACGATTCTAATATTGTATATTGTATATTACTCACATATGTCTTTGTCACATGCTTCACTAGTCATTCTCATCGGCTAATTCGCTCGTAGAGATTTTTTATCAGTAAAACAGAAAGGTTTGAAATTATGTGTTGCTCTGTCATAATGTATATATTCACATCATCGATTAATGTCACGTATTTTAATCGACACAACATGGAAACACACTATTTTCTTTGTACGCGGTGTTCGCGATTTCAATGAATCGTAATTATTGGAGATGGAATGATGAAATTGAAATTTCTCGATTAATATTAATGCAATCGAATTGTTATATCGTGTCAAACGATCGTACATATTACACCACTCATTCACTCACAAACAGCGTTTGACGAAATGCTTGTGCATAACTGTGCAGTGTTCCTATTTTCATTTAATCGCGTGCGCGTTCGTCCTCAAAACCGTACGAGAGAAATGGAGCAGGTGACACAATTTTATGAGCAACCAAGCGAAACATTGCGAATAGATGGAAGGAGAGTAGAAAAAGCAACCTAATACATAAGATGTTCGACAAGGATCTTGAATTCTTGAACGTGTATTCCTGAGCGTTGGTTTTTAGCACACTCGTTATATGCGACGGTATGAATAAATGAAGCAATTAAATCGATCACATAAAGATTGAATATTGAATAGATTAATGTAAATTAAACTGCGATATTCTTATTTAGTAGATAAATATTTATAGTACGTTTAGAAACTTGAAGACTATTTAAGCCAAATCGATACGTGACTCCCGATCTCGCATCGAATTAGAGTCCGACCGAAACTTTTGCCGAAATTGAACCGAAACACTCGGTCATTACATGTCAATTTCAACCGAAATCGAAATCAAAATTTAAAAAATAGGAATTCTATAAAGGCTATATATATAGATATGTCCATATATCATATATATTTTTTCTCCAAATATCATAATTGATTGAAACAATAATTAAATTTTTTCGACCGAAATTGAAAACCGAAATTTTGGTCAAAGAATATAAGTACTTCTTCTTCATAAACATTATAATTTAATTATTGAAACAATAATTACACATATTAAAATTAATATTTATGAAGAAGAGTAATGAGATGTGATTTCAGTCGAAACTGATACGTAGTGAGTGTTTGTTTTCAGTTTCGGTAGAAGTTTCGGTCGGACTCTACATCGAACTGCAAAATGCTTCGCGTATTTAAGCCTTTCGCTGCAGAATCATTTTTTGTCTCTCAAAATTAGTTGATTAGTCGGAAGGTGACTTAAAAAATTAAGATTTATTTCTCTTTTATTTCTTTTTAATGTAAATAATATTAATAATTTAATATAAATAATATTTAAACGGTAAGTAATTTTGAAAAAAAGGAAGAAAGTTAATTTTTCAAACTTTTTTCCACTTTGAGATATTTATATGAGACTTAATTAAAAAAAATTTTGTGGAATGGTATCTTTAATTTAGAGGTGTGTTTTTGGAGTCTGACACTAATTATTGCAGTGAAAGGATTGAGTAGGCAAGCAAGTGTACGAACAAATTTCGACATGTCGATCGTTTGTGTCGAACGTAGGCGACGAGGCACCCGTACCGGATGACGGTATTAAACCTACCTTCACCGAACGACCGGTGATTAGACAATCCGACGACGGTAACACCATCACCTTCGAATGCCGACTTGTCGGTGATCCGAAACCAAGTGTCAAGTGGTAAGGTCTTGAAATCTGCGACGCGCGGGAGGAAGTAGTATTGAAAAGTGTCATTGAATCATTGGAAGAAACATGAATTAAAGATATTCAAAATATCGACTAGATAATAAAATTAAGAAAAGAAATAGTGTCGAATTGAAATTAAGAGAAATTTTCAAATTAAACTTTTCCTACAAGATTGTCCTCCAATATTTTTGAAAGATATAATGTACTTGAAAAAGTACAATGTTTAAAACTGATATTTTCAAATTTACATGCACATACTTACATATTAAAGTGTTTCGAGTATAAAAAAATTTCGATAGTGTATCTTGTTCCGATGGTTCAAAATTCAAGAGTATGATATTACTTCCGAACGCACGGTTTGTGACATAAGTCAATATCCGGCGGTTGCTACGATTTGGCATTTTGGCGGCGATCGCAGGTATCACGGTACCGAGGAAGTGAAAGACGGCGGGCGATTCACCACATCACTGGAACTTGATCAGAAGCTGTACCATCTCGCAAGGCTGAGGATCGACAATGTGGCAAAGGGGGATGCGGGCGAATACAGGGCCGTGGCAAAGAATAAGCACGGCCAGGGGGTAGCGACTATTAATTTGAACTTCGAAGGTGGCGACAGGCTCAAGTAGGCATCGAAAGATAATTTGTCTTCGACATCAATTATTCTGCTGCGCCACGAATCGATAGATGCACTTTTTTTCGGTTTGATACGGCGCGATGAAAATACATTGTACTGCAATTTTATTCGATTTATTGAGCTGCAAAAGTACAGCATTAATTTAGCTTTTATTAGTGTAGCTTTTAATGAACTGCCATAATAATGATAGCAGTAACATAATAATATTGTTGATCTTGAATTTTTTATTGAAACAAAATTTATGACAAGGCACAAAAGCGAAGTATGTTGAATGAAAAGTACATTGTACTTCTGAGGAATTATCTCGTTAGTACTATTAGAATTCTTCATTACATTCGGTTGCGCACGTAAAACATAGACTCCGTTGTAAATGAAATATGTAAAAACGAATGTATTATAAAATAGAAGTTGAAAATTAGTTGATCAAATTAAAAATGCAGGTATTTGCAATTATTAATTTACGCTTTTTCTATTTCTTTAATTTTTAAAAAATTATTATTTTCTTATAAACACAGTTTTATTATAAAAATGCATATCCTTTACATAAATTAAAAATTATTAAAAATGTATAACTGTAAAAATATAATTTATCTTTATAAATTTACGAATGCCTGCATATACAGAAGTTGCATGCTCTTTTTTAATTAAAACAACATAAAACTGTCACTCAGAATTAAAAAATTTTGATAAATTAAGATTTGATCAAAAGAGAGTCTGCGACTTTTACGATAATATTTTTTCGTAACATTGCGTCGCATTTTTTCGGAAATATTGCGTGGCCAGCAGGTGAAAAATAATGTCATCCACCGAGATGACTTTAGATTCTGCGTTCAATCAGCGAATCGACAAATTTCTCGTTTGACATGTCGATTTACGCAGAATACCGGACGGTAAGCCACCGCGTTTTCCAAAGAAGCCAACGATCCGTCAGGAGGGCGATTTACTCATCATGGAGTGTATTCTGGAGGCACATCCGGTGCCGGACATAACATGGTACCAAGGTCAGAAAACGATTATCGACAGTAATCGCGTGAAGATGTCACGCAAGGCAACCGGCAAGGACACATATCTGCTGACCCTCGAGATCTCAAATCCGACCAAGGCTGACGGTGGGAATTACCGTTGCAACGCCTTTAACAACTTCGGCGAGAGTAATGCCAACATCTCCCTCAACTTCCAAGGCAAGTCCTCTTCGAAGCGTACGAGAAGGCTTTCATTGGCATTCCGAGATATTTATCATCAATATCAAATACGCTTCAAAAATTATAAAAAAGTCATCAGTTCTTTAATCTTTAATTGCAAATAATCTTTAAAAATCTGAGAGCAGCAACATAATACAATATATATGCACAGTTAGATACATAGATATATTCTTTTATTTTTATACAATATTAATTTCAAAGTAATTATATTTTTTTGTTTTTTATATTTATTTAAAATTACAAATTGCTCGGACAATGAAATTCCTTTCGTTTACTTCGTCCATGACGAGTCCTGTCGACTTTCCTTGTATCTCCTTCGTGCATTTTATAAATGCATTTTATAAACGCGCGATAAAGACATATAAGCGATTTTTCTCGGTAAACGATCACGATCATTTCATAGGTCATTTCATCAGGTAAGCACTGTCGCGCTATTGCTAACCAATCGTGAAGTCTCTGTATCTTCGCTTCATAACTTATTCAGCTGCCAACAACATGACTAACGTCATTAAAAGTCGCGGTCGCGGGTCATCGGTGACCCGCGACCGCGGTAGAGATCGTGTTTCCGGTGTTCTGCTATGCACTTGGAACCATCTCTCGTATCTTCATCGATGATATCTAACCTTGGATCTTTCCAAGATGCAGAAGAGGGCGCGGGTTGCGCTCCGTCCTTTATTGAGAAACCTCGTATCATCCCGAACGAAACCGGTACGCTGATTACCATGAAGTGTAAATGCAAAGCGAATCCCAAGCCGGAGGTCACGTGGTTCCGCGGTACCAACGTGGTCAAAGAATCATCGAAGATCTCGATTAAGTCCAAAACGATTGAAGAAGACGTATATGAACTTATCATGGAAATAAAGGTAATTCTCTGCTTTATTAAAAATGAAAATAATTTTAATTATTTTTATTTAATTATTATAATAATAATTTTAATTTCTTCCTTCTGATTAGTGATGTGAATATATAATATCAACAGATTATATTTTATTAATATCTAATTTTTAAATCTAAAATTTAAAAATTATTTTCTGATAACAGGACCCATCGGCACCGGACGGTGGCACTTATAGGTGTCACGTGAAGAACGAGTACGGCGAAAGCAACGCTAATCTGAATTTGAATATCGAGGCGGAACCGGAACCAGAGGGAGACGGGCCGACGTTTGTAGAGAAGCCGCGGATACAGTCGCAAAACAAAGGCAAACTCGTCATCATGGATTGCAAAGTGAAGGCAAAGCCGAAGCCACAGATCGTGTGGACTCATGCAGGCAAAGTGGTAAAGGAGTCCTCGAAAATCTCCATTAGCATCGTTTCAGAGAAAGAGGACATTTATTATATCAAACTAACTCTAAACGATCCTGGACCGGATGATTCCGGACTCTACAAGTGTAACATTAAGAATGATCTTGGTGAACTCAATGCCAATCTTACGCTAAATGTTGAAAGTAAGTTCGCATATTTTATATTATACATTATTTGGTGTGTGATAACAGTTTAATTAATTTTTTAAATATGAAATAATTGAGTTAGATTTAATAAATGTTGAAAGTAAGTTCGCATATTTTATATTATACATTATTTGGTGTGTGATAACAGTTTAATTAATTTTTTAAATATGAAATAATTGAGTTAGATTTAATAATTCAATTTTTGTTTTAGTTGCTAAAAATAAAGATCGTGAAACATAAATTAGTTAAATTAAAATATTAATTATTTTTTTATTGTGATTTTAGTTGTACCCGTAATTAAGGAAAAGCCGAAGGTGGTAAAGATTGTTAAAAAGAAGACAGTCGTAATTGAATGTCACGTTCTTTCTCAATTTGCGCCTGATTGCACGTGGTTCAAGGAAAGTCAAGCCGTTAAGGAGGATAATAGACACAAGTTGCACGTCGAACAAGTTAAAGAAGTGAGTTTTATAAAATTATCCAATATATTTATTATCTCTATCAATACTGTATTAAAACAATTAAAAAGAAATTTATTTTAAGTTTAAAGTTTAGTTTAATAAAATATCTAGAAAAGAATTATTTTTTTTACGTTTGTTTTTTACATTTTTTTAATTATTTTTTTACGTTTATTGATATTATGTATTTAACTAGAAAATAGCAGTTGAATATTACTCAGTATACATTATGTGACAACATAATTATTATTTAAAAAATTATTATATAAATTTTAATCAATTGATTTTTTCAAATAGGGTGAATTCACTATAAAACTCGAAATTGAACAAATGTCGACGACAGATAAAGGCACATATAAATTAGTGGCACGCAATGATAAAGGCGAAGCCACATCACAAGTAGTGGAAGTGACGGAAATTCCAGACCAAGGAGAAAAACCCAAAATTGTTACCGGCCTCAAATCAATTGTAAGTATTTTTAATTTTTTACTGGTAATTTTTTACTCAAAAGTTAAAATACAATACTTTCTTTATTTAACATTTGTTTTGATGAAAAGCTAATATTGTTAAAATAAAGTTTCTTTTATTAATTAATGTTATGCGCTGTATATAATACTATATTTCTAGACTGTCGAGGAAGGTAAAACGGTCGAGCTCGTCGCAACTCTCACAACGCAAGATCGAAAAGTCACTGTCACGTGGTATAAGTACGTATTTAATAATAAAAATTAAGTTTTAAATAATTTGCCAATTTTATGATACAAAAATATTATATTTTATTTAGAAATTTTATAAAATAATTTTATAAAAAAATAAAAGAATAATCAATATTATCCAAAACAATTTGTCTAATATTCGATAGCTAGACATTCGTACATTTTTTTCACAGGCATCAACTGCCTTTTCTTATGTTAAACTATTTCAATAAATTGTTCAAATCTTTATAATTGTTGCAATAATAATTTTATAATATAATTACAGAAATTCCACAGTCATCAAAGCGTCAAAGGACATCATGATTTCCTTTAATGGCCTGGATATGAAATTGACTATCACCTCAGCATCGACAGAATTCTCAGGAATGTATAAAGTCACCGTGAGCAATGAATACGGTCAAGATGAGTCGTCGGCTCGTCTCGTCGTCAATGTAAGTAATTTTATTTAATAATTTTCAACCATGAATTTATTTATCAATATGCAAGTTTTTTAGTCACTTTGTGTTTGTATAAATTTATGTTCCAATAATATTACAAGAAATTCGCATTTTCATGAAAATTGGCATGAATTCATATTGTAATTATCACCCCTTTTTTCACTGAATTTGAAATGTATTACTAATAATTATAAACTGATCCAAATACACCCCGTTGAAAAATTGACATGTTAAATTATTATATCAAATATGGAATTAAACTAATGAATACATGATGTAACTAAATCATTGTTTTCTTGATAAATTTGAAGATTATTTGTATGTGTTCTCCAATGTTGCATGCAATTCCCTCATGAAATTACAGAAGAAAGAAGAAAAGAAAAAAGAGGAGGAGGAAGAGAAGAAGAAGAAAAAGGTTGAGAAGAAAGAGGAGAAAAAAGAGGAAGAAAAGAAAGAAGAAAAGAAAGTAGAGAAGAAAATCGAAGAAAAGAAGGAGGAAAAGAAGGAAGAAAAGAAGGTAACCACTGAGATGGGAAAATTAATTAAAATTTTCATTCTAATTTTCAATGATTTTTTTATCGCTTCCCTATTCCTTCTGTTACACCTCTTGTGATTAACAAGATACTACACTGATCACATACAGCGTGATACAGATACAGGAAGATTAATTATTTTGCAAAATTTATTACAGTATGATTCTTTATGTACTTGCAATTATCTAAAAATAATTATTATTATATAAAAAGAGAGTAATATCTTTGAAAAAGAAAAAAAGAATTTTAGTTTTATATAATTGTGTATTATACGAGATTGATTATCAAACTGCAAGTAAAAATATTGAATTAGTACTTAATACTGTATTAAGAGCATCTGCTATATAATTTGCAAAAATTGATCGATCTTTCGACTCCTCGACGCGTCAATTGGTATACCATTGAAAAATTATATCTCGATATAAAAGGTAATTAGTTCAGTATGGAGCGACGATGATGGTGAAGAATCAGAAGAATATGAGATCGAGGAAGAGGAAGAAGTGGTGAGTGTAATTGAGTCCAGCATTATCAGCACAGAAGCCATTCTCGAGGAATCAGATTCTGAAATAATTTCTCGCGTCGAGGTATACACAAACACAAACTATATCAACACTAATACATATTATAGAATCCATCTTTCATCAATTTATATTAAATTTTTATATTTAAATATTTAATAATAATTTATTAACAATATATTACTTTTATAAAATAAAAAAAAAGTAATTTTGTTTATTCAATTATATATAAAATAAAATAATTATTTTATATTAATAATGTTATAATTTATTACATGTAAATATTTCGCTAATTAAACTTCTCTTCTTTTTTTTTATAAATTGTGAAACTTATGTTTTTATAAGATTAATCAATCAAGGATAAATAAATTTTTTTTCTTGTTATTTTTAAGGATAAGCCTGATTTGAAACCGAATGGTATCGACAAACCAGAGGTTGGGAAGGTACGAGATATAATTATTTCTTTTTAATTTTTTGAGAGGAACATCAAGTGTAATTTTTTGCAAAAGAAAACAGTACACTATAATCAGAACACGTCACATGATAATTATTTATCATTTGTGTCCCTTCTTATTTTATCCATTGTTATTTTCGTTTGCACTTTCCCTGTCATTTGTGTCATACTTTGGAGATTCATGTGTGTATTGTGTGTTCCATAATATGTATAAAAGCTTATTTTGTATATATAAAAGTTTAAATGCAAATTTCCTACAAATAATAATATAAATTATATAAACTTAAATTAAATGTTTGTAGAAAAGATAATTCTAAGTTTAAAATATTTAAAATATATGAAAGAAAAATAATGGTCTTGATGTATTCTGTTTCAGAAAATGGAGATTTTACAGGTGAGCATAAAATATCAAAAGTTGGATTTCGGTAATGTATGCGCTCGAAAAGCAATTTTGATTCGCTTAATTTAATTCGAATAAATACCACTGTGCTCTGAAGATTGAGGCTTTGGCGAAATATTTTGGCCAATCTGCGAAACGATATATTTATAAACCGCAATAAATTGTTTTTAATTTTCTTTTGATGAGATTTCATCTTTATGATTTCATCTTTACAAAATTATCTTTATGCGATTAATATTCATCATTTTTGCACTAAATAAATTTGCTTATATATTATTTTATTTTTCGCAGCATCCACTTAATCTCAGCTTATTTGATAAGTTTCTTCGAATGATCTCTTGCCTAAATAAACCTTAATATTAATTTTTCTTCGCATAAAAACGCAAGTTTTCCAAGTGCTTTTTCAGATGCCATATTTCTTTCCGAGTCCCAGAAGCTGGTTCCTTCAAACCCAATTCTGCTTAAAGTTTAATTCTTTATGTCATTATATAAACTCTTGCATGTGGTTTTTTTCTTTGTATGTTTATATTATGTGTGTTTGTGTGTGAAAAATTTTATTCAAAAACGAGCATCAAAAATATTTATTGGTGAAAAATTGGTGGATGGGAATTTATTTCCTATTTATCATTATCTTAAATTACTTTAATATAATGCAACCATATCTCTGTGTTGTGTTTTTGATTATTGTGTCCTAAATTAAATAGGAGAAGTATTTTGCTAATATTATTTTATTTCTTTACATATGTAGAAGGACGAAGAAATTGTGAATAATGTTGAAGAAAGGAAATCTATTAAGGTAAGAATAATGTAACATGTATTTCTCATTAAAAATGTATGTTAAATATTGTAATTAAGACGATATAACAAACAATCTATTTAGTTAGTCTATATTTTATATCTCTATTTTTCTTTCAATTTATAGAAAAAAGCCGCTGAGAAAATTGAAGACAAAAAGGAAGAAGAAAAGGTGAGCGCAATTATACATTTAATTTATATTTTTTCAATAATTTATTTTTTGACCTTTTTTATCTTTAAATCTTAACTCTTTTTAGAAAAAAATTATCAAAAAGAAAGAACCCGAATCCAAAGAGGTATGCATAATTCAGTTGTTCTATTTTCGTATCTTATTTTATGTTAATCAAGTAATCATGTAGCATATTATTATTTTAAGTATTCATTAAATTAATATATGAATATATTAAATTAATTTGGACATATGTATCTAATATGTATCTAATATTATTTATATTTAGATATCTCGAGAAACTACGCCTAAACCTGAGAAAACGGTGACTCGCAAGGAATCAATCAGCAGAGTAAGGGTATTAATGTATTATATATGTATTTTTTTAATCAATTAGAAAAATAGATTTTATATATAATTTGTTATATTTCAGGTGGAAGAACTTAAGACAGAGAGTCGTCGTAGTTCGATCATAAAGACTGATGAGAAGGTATGATGTTGTGATACTAAATTTCGTAAATACTTTAAGAGCTATGAGTCTGATAAATTTATTCTGCATCATTAGATGCAAGTACTATATAAAATACAAATTATTTTTATTTTTTATTATTATCATATAGATAATGAATGATGGCACTGTGACACCACGACGTCTTTCTATACAGAAGGTACACATACATATACACATTTCACACACAACATTGTCAAAAAACAGTTACAATTAATTTTACAATATTGATATATTAAAAAAAAAATTTAAACTCATGAACAGAATAAAATAACATAAATTAAAGTATTTTATTATTGACTCACGTCAATTAAATTTTAATTTATGTTTTATATATCTTAGACCGAAGAAGAAGTCAGGGTAGAAAGCAGACGATCTTCTATTATAGAAAAGAAGAAAACGACTGAAAAGGTAAGAAAGAATATTGCTGTTTTTAATAAGTTACATAATGTGCTAACAAAATATTTTGTTATTAATTAATTGATTAGTTGTACTATTATAATTTTTAGAAGAACAAAGTAAGTATACGTGAATCACCTTCTCAAAATCGACATAAGAAGGAGTTTTAATATTTTATAGAAATAAATTATTTTTTATTAGATTAATAGCTTGATGTAATTTTATTGTTTGGCAAAACCAACTTGTGTTAATATAAATTATATAATATAAATTATATAATTGACTTTTGTTTTTTTTGAAGTAATCTTTGAAAATAATTTTATCCATAGATTTGACTTTATAAGCTTTCAATGTGCAAATAATTTTACAATAAAAAGAAAATTATAATTTTTATTTAAAACACAAAAATTATGCTCTCTGTAAAATTTTACACAATTAATAAGAATTTAAGGATATAATATAGGGTCAAAAATAATAGATAACGCTGGATTTTTTATTTTGTGCGATATTAGGGTAAATCGTAGATTTTGTACAATGAAATACATAAAAGAATATTTTATCTCGCATCATTGCAGGATGTATCCGCATTCAGGCCAAGAGCCATTTCGCGAATGATTGAAGACGAGGTACACTTACACATTTTAATTATTCTAATTATTTTATTTTATTTCATATCATTTTTTTGTACTTTGTAACGAGATAACTATTTTTTTTAGAACACACTCACAACGAAAATCAAGCCACACACATATAAATTCGACGAAGAGATTCAGGTACATAGACATAAACACAATACTTATTATTTTCAATCGTACACATATATCGTCCATTACTATCGTCTATTACTATCGTCTATTACTTTCAATTGTATATCGCCCATTAGGTCAGCATATACGTTACATTTAATTTTAGGATATTTGGTCATCTAAACCGACAGAGCGCGGTAGTAAATCGATAAGACATTATGAGGTACGTGATGTATTTTTTGTTATGTTTATGCGTCTTAAAACACGCGATATAAATATATGAAACATTCTAGGAAATTGCGAAGTCCAGGGCAACTTCTTTCGTTCATGAAACTGATCGTAAACCGAAGGTACATATCTCGCGCTGACTGTATTTAACAAATACTGTATTTAACAAAATGTAGTTTCCTTAAAATCAGAAAAATTTATGATATTTTCAACAAGAAGAATTACACAAAAGTAAACTTTTTAGGTTGCACCTCAAGCTGCAATTAAGCCACGCATCCGCGATTCGGATGATGAACGTGAGGTACATAAAAAATTATATCGTACACACACGCATACACATTTAAAGATGTTATAACGATAATTAAACGTTTTACGAATGCGTATTTTATCGGTATTCATTTTAGGATGTTTGGAGTATTCACAATCCGGGAGAACGTGATAATGAATCTATGCCGTACAGAGTATGCAAATATGCTACATGAAAGTTCAATACATTTTAGTTTAAAAGAACATGATATTTCGAATAATATTTTTTTATTTTAGGATATGTCAACAGATAAGACACACAAACCTCACATACCCGAAGATACAACACATTCACATCAAAAATCAGATGAAGACAAACCAAAAGATAAAATATCACATGACACCATCGAAAATAAGACACATCCACAGAAATCAGATAAAGAGATTGAGGTACAGAACATTTATTGTATAATCGCTAGGCATAGGTAGTATATATATCTTTAAATCATCAATAGTTTTAGACTATTTGGACGAATAAAGAATACAATACTGATTCTAAAAAATGTGACAAAGTATGCAAATACATTTAAATTACAGAAATTATTCGCGAACAGTTTGAATTTCTTTAAAAGAGTAAAATTTTGAATATGTTATTTTAGGATATTCTGAAAGAGAAAAAGCCACATGATACATCTACTAGTAAAGTATTATCGCGTAAATATGATGATAATTCAAAAGATAAAACACTTTCTCATGATACACCAATACATGAAATACATCCGAAAAAATTTGACGATAAAATTGAGGTATATAATATTATTGCGAGGCACATAAATTACATATCTTTAATATATTACTGTTTTTAGAATATTTGGGCGAGTAAAGAACGCGATAATGACTCCTCCAAAAAGCATGAAAAAGTAGGTGTATACATATTTAAATTATAAATATTATTCATAAATATAATAGAATTTTTTAGAAACGATTATAAAATTTTTAAACGTTATTTTAGGATGTTCCGAAAGAGAAAACATGTTTGCGTGATATACCTACGAGTAAAACATTTGCGTATAAATCCGGTGATATTTCAAAAGATAAAACATTTTCTTATGACACACCTACTTATAAAATACATTCGCAAGAAAAAATTGAGGTATACAACAAATATCATCACATAATTTATGAAGCATATGTTACACACTTTCGAAATAATATTTTTTTAGGATACATCGATTAAGCCAAAAGAACGTGTTGTCGATTCAAAGAAATCTAAAGTACGTATAGTTAATAATTATATAAAATATAATTATTATCATACATATACAATTAATTGTATGAGTAAGAATAAAGAAAATAGTAATGAGTAATAACATATTAAGAATAAAGAAAATAGTAATGAGTAATGACATGTTAAATAATATTTTAGGACATACCAAAAGTTAAGACACTTTTATGCGATACACCTACAGCTAAACTACAATCACAAAAACCTAACGAAGTGTCACAACAGAGAAAGAAAACACATGACACATCTATTCAAAAAATACGTCCACACAAATCTGATGAAAAAATTGGGGTATACAACACTTATCATATGCTTTTTTTAGAAGTAAATTTTATCTTTAAAATATTAATAGTGTGTAGGATGTTTGTGTAGAATCAAAAAAATATAATACTGATTTTAAGACATACGGCAAAGTATGCAAATTAGTATATTAATTAAGTACACAATTAGTATGAATTTATTTAAGAGGAAAGATAAATAATATTTTAATTATAATATTATTTTAGGATTTACCGAAATTTAAAGATAAATCGTCTCGTCGTCAATCTGACGAAAAAATCGAGGTACATGTATATTACTCATTGCAGAGTACACTTACACATCACATTATAGAGATTTTTTATATATTTTTTTAATGTTAACTTCTAGGATATTTCGTCCAAACAAAGGGAACATGAAAACAAACCAAACAAAACAGATGAGGTACACTATGTAACATTTCGCGCATATTTGAGTAAATTTATAAAATAGCAAATTCAAAATTATTATTATTATAGGATACACCGGAAATTAAGGCTAAAAGACGCGTATCGAAACCTGATGATCAAACTGAAGGAGATAAAATAGCTTTGGACAAAATAAAAATACGTGATATCAAGTCCAAGCCAAATGATGAGGTAGATAGTACGAGAATATAATGATACACGAGACAAGATAATATCTAATTATAGTTTAAAAAAAAGAATTTAGTTTTATATTTATTTATATTTTTTAATAAAAGGATAATAATAATGATAGTAAATTGATAAAAAGCAACAGAATTTATTTTAGGAAAATTATATATAATAAATAAAAATATAATATAAAGTCAAGTCGCAAAATAAAATCAAATTTATCTCTTCTTTGTCTAAGAATATAATAGAATACGTTAAAATACATTCTTAAAATTTTAGGATAAATTGATGCCGAAATCGAAAGGACATGACGATAAACGCGTTGCACATGATGAGGTACATAAATATATGAATACATACAATTTTGCTTCTCTTCACTCCATTTCACTTCACACAACTCACACTTTCGGGTCTTACATTTACATAAAACAGCTTGATAAAGTATGCTGTTATTTTAGGATACCGTATGTTCCACGGACACATTTCACAAACTTCCACTAGATCGAGATGTCAAAATTTACTACACGCACTATAATTATGTTAGTTACGAAATATTTATCTTATGGCGGACAACAATACACTATTATTTTATTTATTTTTAAATATATTATTTTAGGATGTATGGGCAAATCCGCCAAAATCCATTGAGCACAAAAATTTTATTACATCCGATAAGGTACACATATACATATATATATATACACACACACACACACATACACATACATTTGTGCGGTGAGACAGATTGTTAGATAAAAATAGAAATTAATATTACATGCAAAATATAGATATATTGAAGAAACAACGATTTATTTTTTAATTTTAGGATGTTTTATTATCTACTGTTAAACCACAAACGCATGAATTCGATGATGATATTGAGGTACAGAATATACATTCATAGCATTATATTTTTTTTATTATATTATACTTTTGATTAATATGTAATAAAATAACATGCGATCGTAGGATATTTGGGCTTCGAAAATCGAGGACGACGCGCCTAAACCAATCAAAAAATTGGAGGTATATGCAAATTGTAATTGACACTGCATTTATTTTTACTTTTGTTTATTGAGTAGGTTATAATATCGATATATTTTAGGATTTGCAAATTTCCAAAGTTGCGCCGTATAAAAATGGGGTTAAAATAGAGGTATACATTATTAAATTTACAAGTACTCATATTTACATTATTCGAAAATCACATACCTAATTTGGTATATGACGACTTTTAAAATCTCGCAGGAACTTGCATTCACATCTGCGCCTAAATTTGCATCCAAATCTAAGGACAGCATAAGCAAACCTAAAGAATCCAGGGTATATATGTATATTCCACATTCATACATTTGTAATCGACAGTTAAATCTATATTATATTAGTTAAAAAACATATTAATTTTTAATTTTTAGATATTACTTTTATATGTTTAATATTTAAATTAATTTTATTTAATATTTGACATTCTACATAAAATGATTTTAATTTAATTATGTCTTTTATCCATTTGTGAGAGAACTAAGACAAAATGAAATGAGCTTTTCGGACAGATCTTATCCTTCAATGTTTTTAGGAGGGCGATATACCTGAATACGAAAAAAGCGAGATTAAACCCAAAGAGAAGGTACATTCTCACACATACAATCGCATGCATTTAAATTTAAACACACAATACACAATACACAATAAATTTGGATAATATAATTTTTTTAATTTTTTAATTTTAGACCAAAGATATTAACTCTACATTTGACAAGGAAGAAGTGCCCAAGGTATAATACAAAAATTGTACTTCACACACACAACACATTGTTATTTTCTTTTCGGTTTTATTATATTTTTGCAATTGTAGAAAAAGGTGTCCACTAGACGTAAATCGACTAAGTCAACGGAAGGATCCGAGGTATAAAAACGATCCTCATTTCTTGTCAGTGCTAATCATTGACTTTCCACTGATCTGATCGCATAATCTTCTGGTCGCATAACTCTTCAGTCTCTTTGTAATCTTAGATGCAAAAACTTCTTCATTTTCTCTATTCTATAATATTATAATCTTCGAAGCTATCTAGTGTCTTCTTCGCAAATGTGTATTGACTATTATTACGGAACATTTTCTCTTATCATCTTTTTATGATAAGTATTTCCTTTTTCTCTTGCTGCTTTTCATCTTCTTACTCTTCTTCTAAATGTCTATGATTTTGTTGATCATAAATATTGTTGATTATAATATCTAGGATCAAAAACCAGTATCGAAATCAAAGAAGAAAAAACCTAAATCCGCGGATGAATCTAAGGTATACAATTATATGTTAATAATATAGTATATTATACATCACAATTATAAAAATACAAAAGATGAATGTTATATCTTCGTATAGGAAATAAAACAATATATGATTATTCGTACGCATATTAATTATAAATATTTGTTATTAATTTTTGCATTTCGCTACATGCTTTTAATTGTCACTAACATTAATATGCATATTTGTTTATGTAATATTATGTTTTAACCCTTATAGCACAAAATTGTACAAAAGTTGCAGCAATATTATAAAGATTTTTCAGCGATATTGCTGCAAATTCTGTGCTATATGGATAAAATAGCGTAGATGAATGATAATTAATATGTATATAATATTTATATACATATATTTATTAATTACAACATATCTATTTATTATTCATATATCTTTTACACAGTTTACACATTTTTAAACAGAAATACACTTTTACAACATATAAATCTTACAATAAATATATAAATATCTATAAATATCTTTTAAATATATATAAATATCTTTTAGAAAGAGGAACCGATCACAAAACCGAAAACTCCCGGAAAACCAGAACCGAAGGTACATAAAAAAATACAATTAAAGCACATACAAAAAAATTTTCAACATGTGATTAATTTTTTATTAATATAAATATTTTAAATAAATATTTTATTTTCCTTACAATTACATTCAATCCATAGGAAATATAAAGTATTAAATTTATATTTTAAAAATACGAATTTAAAAAATATTATTACTACATTTTAGGCAGAAGTCAAGCCTAAACCGGGAGAGACGAAGGTATATAAAATAATTACACTATTATCGTATTTATATATATAAATAACAATTTCTTCGCTCACAATTAACACTGCAGAGATTTACAGCTGAGATATGCACATGCACAGCAACAGAAAAGCATAATATATAAAATATATTGCTCTTTTTTAATATCACGCCACATTTGAAAAATGAGCACCAGCTGCATTAACCATATGCCGTAAATATATAACTTTAAGACATTTTTTACATTCAAATATATTTTGAACATTTTTAGATGGAACCAAAAGCCAAATCTAAAGCAGAGGAAGTAAAGGTATACTTACACATATACTACACATATCTTGTAACAATATACACTTGCACAATAGAGAAAAAGAATACAATCAAATAAAAAGGGATGATAAATGAGGAACACTATTAAATACTACTCGTACACTTTTAGGAAGCCAAGTCCAAACCAGACGAATCAAAGGTACACAAAACACTTTGTAACACATTTTATTATTTTAATAATCTTGTACCGATTATTAAAATAAGACATTAACACTTAAATTTACATATACACTTTTAGGAGGAAGCGAAAGCTAAACCTAAACTAGAGGAAGTAAAGGTATATTTAGATGTGATTATCTTGCAGCAATATATATTTATGCAAGTCTAGCTCGCAGTTTATAAAAGAAAAAGATGCATGAATTGTATATAGTAAATAAATGTGACATTTTAAAAGACACTATTTAAACACCAATCATACACTTTTAGGAAGTGTCAAAGACGAAGTCTAAATCGAGCGAAATAAAGGTACAAAAAGTTGTATTATTTAAAAGAAAAGCTAGGCTCAATAATTAGGCTTTTAAAAGCGGTGAAATTATATCATTACGATGACGCGAAAAATGTACAATGTTTTATTTTACATATACACTTTTAGGAGGAACCAAAAGCTAAAATTAAAGAGGAAGATGTAAAGGTACACGTACATTTGTGTTATTTTTGACATCACCATATACATCATACATTCGGAAGAATAACAAAATAAATAATATAAGATAATTAGATGAAAAATTTAGCTTGAAGTATTATTTTTGCAATTATCATTTTACATAAAAATTAAACAGAATTGATATCATATTTAAAGAGTAAGACGAGGTATACTTTTTCACAATCTTTTTTTTTTATAATTATATATATTTATTTTATTGTATAGGTATACTTTTCAAGTTTTTATATATATTTACACATAAATATTATAATTGTAAAAATACTTTTAGGTTGAAGAAAAGCCTAAGGCTAAACCAGGGGAAGTCAAGGTAAACAAAACACTTGTACAACAGAACATGTTAACAGAATATAAAATACAATTAAAAATTAAAAAAGTTAAAAATTAAAATGATATTATTAAGTACTCGTACATTTTTAGAAAACACAGACGACTAAATCTAAACCAAACAAATTAAAGATACATCAAATGTTTGTTACATCAAAACTTTTACTTTGTTATAACTAAAACTTTTATTTTGAAAATTTTAGAAACATAAAAAATATTAAAAGCTTTGAATATTAAAAATATTAAAAGTATTGCGGACGTACTAATTCAAAAAAATGTAAATCTTTCAAAAATTGTTCAGTTTTGTAATAAAACTAAGAGATTTTTATCTTTTATGTCTTTAAACAATAATTAATGATCTTCTAATACAGTTTATTAAGTGTTTTACTAAAATACATAAATATTAACAAAAGCATTATGAATACTCTAGAAGAAAATTTTTTATTTTGTGTACATTAATTTATAACAGAATTATTTAAACATTCAGAAATTAATATAATATAAAATATAATATAATTAATTTTAAAGAAATTAAATTAATATTATTAAAAAGAAATTTACAGCAATGAATTAAAACAAATTTTGCTGTTTGTAGAAAGAGGAACCTGCAACGAAACTTACATCTAAACCAGTAGAACCGAAGGTATATTTGATAAAACACATACACAATATACATACAATCTAACATTGATATTTTTATAAAAACAGGGTATAAATTTTATAAAAAAAGAGTTTAATTTTATATTACTTTTATATTTCTATTTGCAGAAAGAAGAAGAGATTACTAAGAAAGGTCTGAAATCCGTCAAGGTAATTATAATTTTTATAATAAAAAAAAATTAATATAGAGTCTAATACACACACATATTTTTTGAATGTTAACCTAATTTAATATTATTAAGAAAAAGAAAAAAATTTCAATTTTCTCTTTATTGAATATTTCTAAAATGTTTTATACAATTAGAAAAAAAGATATAGATATATGTATGTTGCTAATATTCAATTTTTATTTATTTCAGCAACTCGAGGAGGAGAAGAAAACTCAAGAAAAAGTCGAGCTTAAGGTAATTTCATTTTTCTCATCACATTTAACGATAATTGTTTAAAGTTGTTAACGTTCAATATTACACAGTTAATAGATGTAGAAACAATAACGAAATTAGTTAAGAAATTAGTATTAAAGAAAAGTTTGATTTAATATTCTATTAATATTAAGTATTATGAGATTTAATTTAGTATCGTTGAATGAATATTAGATTAACTTAGTTTTGTGCATTCCTTGCTTTTTAAAATTTGATTTTGATATACCGCAAAGCGAATATATTTATATACTTGATAAGAAGCTTTTCTCCTAACAACGATATATTAATACAGCCGAAGAATATCATCGAGACCAAACCGAAATCCCGTTTACCACCAAAACAGGAAGTAAAAACCGAAAGCTTTCAGGGGATTCAGCTTAAACCAGTTACGAAGGATCCGAAACAGCCTCAACAGGCTGAAAATAGTGGGGTGGATCTCAAGGTAGCCCTGCAAAAGGGATCAACGTGATCTTGTTGCACAATCTCTATGTCTCGCATTCTGTGTTTTTAAACTGCTAAACTTCAATTTATAGCAATTCTAATTTCGTTTTCTAATTATTAAACAGC